CAGGGAGGAGAAGGAGGAGGAGGAGGAGTCGGAAGGAGGAGGAGGAGGAAGAGGAGGAGGCGGAAGGAGGAGGAGGAGGAGGAGGAGAAACCCGAGGCGCAGGAGGAGGAAGACGAGGGGGAGGAGGAGGAGGAGGGTGGAGGATGATGAGAGGAGGAGGAGGAGGAAGAAGAAGAAGAAGAAGAAAACGAATAATAATAATAATAATAATAATAATAAGACGAATAATAATAAGACGAATAATAAGAATAATAAGAAGAATGATAAGAATAATAAGCATACTAATAACGTTAATACTAATATTCGTAATACGAATAATAAAATTATTAATAATAACAATAATAATCATAATAATAATAATAAACTACTACTAATAATTATTATTATTATTATAATTATTATTATTAAAAATAATAAGCAGAATAATAATATGAATCATCATACTAATAATACGAATAATAAGAATACTAATACTAATAATAATAGCAACAATGACAAGAACACTGACAAAAGAAGAAGGCGGACGATGATGATGATGATGATGATGATGATGATGATGATGATGATGATGATGATGATGATGATGATGATGATGATGGTCATGATGATGATGATGATGATGATGATGATGAGGAGGAGGAGGAGGAGGAGAAGGAGGGGGAGGAGGAGGAGGGAGAGGAGGAGGAGGGGGAGGAGGCGGAGGAGGAGGAGGAGGGGGAGGGGGCGGAGTAGGGGGAGGAGAAGGATAACGACGACAGGAAGGAGAAAGGAGGATGGGGAGGAGGCGGCGGAGGAGGAGGAGGAGGCGGAGGCGGAAAGGAGGAGGAGGAGGAGAAGGAGGAGGAGGAAGAGGGGAAGGAGGAGGGGGGGACGACAGAGAGATGGAGAAGGAGGAGAGGAGGGCGGAGAGTAGGGGAGGAGGAGGAGGAGGAGGAGGAGGAGGAGGCGAAGGAGGAGGAGGGGGAGGAGGAGGAGGGAGGAGGAGGAGGAGGAGGAGGAGGAGGAGGAGGAGGAGAAGCCCGAGGCGCAGGAGGAGGAAGACGAGGGGGGAGGAGAAGGAGGAGGGTGGAGGATGAGGATGAGGATGAGGAGGAGGAGGAGGAAGAAAAAGAAAACGAAGACTAAGAAGAAGAAGAAGAAGGAGGAGAAGAATAATAATAATAATAATGAGAAACAGAATAAAAAAAAATAAGAATAAGAACAATAAGATGGATAATACGGAAAAAGATAATAATAAACATAACCAAAAAAACAAGAAGAAGATGCTGAAGAAGAAACAGAAGAATAATACGAATAATAAGGGGAGAAGAAAACGGATGATGATGATGGTCATGCTGATGATGATGCTAATGATGATGATAGTGATGATGATGCGGATGATGATGATGAAGAGGAGGCGGAGGAGGAGAAGGTGGAGGAGGGGGCGGATTAGGGGGGAGAGAAGAAGACGACAGAAGAAAGGAAGAAGGAGGGCGCGGAGGAAGCGGCGGAGGAGGTGGAGGAGGCGGAGGAGGAGGAGGAGAGGGAGGTAGAGGAGGAGGGGGAAAAGGGAGGAGGCGGAGGCGGAGCGGGGGCGGAGGCGGAGGAGGAGGAGGCGGAGGAGGAGGAGGAGGAGGAGGAGGAGGAGGAGGAGGAGGAGGAGGAAGGGGAGGGGGAGGAGGAGGAGGATGAGGATGATGTTGATGAGGAGGAAGAGGAGGCGGAGGAGGAGGAGGAGGAGGAGGAGGAGGAGGAGGAGGAGAGGAGGAGGAGGAGGAGGAGGAGGGAAGGGAGAGAGCGGAGGAGGAGGAGGAGGAGAGGCGGCGGAGGAGGAGGAAGGAGGAGGCGGAGGAGGAGGAGGAGGAGGAGGAGGAGTGGAGGAGGAGGAGGAGGAGGAGGAGGAAAGAAAAGGAGGAGGAGGAGACGACTGGAGAGATGGAGGAGGAGAAGGATGAGAAGGAGGAGAGGAGGAGGGAGGAGGAGGAGAAAGAGGGAGGAGGAGGACAGTGATGAATAGGAGACAGAGGCGGAGGCGAACGAGAAGGAGGAGGAAGAGCAGGAGGAGGAGGAGGAAGGAGGGAGAGAGGAGAGAGAGGAGAAGGATGAGGAGGACGAGCAGGAGGAGGAGCAGAGGAGGAGGAGGAGGAGGAGGTGAAAGAGGAGGGGGGAGGAGGGGGAGGAGGAGGAGGAGGAGGCGGAGGAGGAGGAGGCGGCGGCGGAGGCGGAGGAGGAGGAGGAGGAGGGGGAGGAAGGGAGAGGCGGAGGAGGACGGGGAGGAGGCGGCGGAAGAGGAGGAGGCGGAGGAGGAGGCGGCATGAGGAGGGATCTGGGGGATCTGATGGGATCTGATGAAACGCCTTGGTCTGCAAGGCCCGCCACCTAGGCACGCATCTCGGACCTGCGCCGAGAAGCACAGTGCCAGGCCAATGCCCAGCGCAAGCGAAGGGAATCCAGCATGGCGACGAGACCACAAGACCCCGAAGCACCGCCCGACGGCGGACAATTCAAAGGGAATCCAGCACAGCGACGAGCGACGCCAGAGACCCAGGGAAAACAAAGCGCGCAGCACGAGCAGCTCCACAGATGCCCGCACAGAAATGGTACTTCAGACCGGCTTTTCGCCAGTGCTTAGGAGAACAGGCCCGCGTGAAGCAACCTAGCCGAAGGGACCTCGGGCCTACGCCGAGACCCCGTGCTGAGCCTATGCCCAGCAAGAATCAAGGGGAATCCAGCGTGGCGACAGAACACCAGCACGGCAGGACAGGCGAGGCGGATCCAGCCGCGGCGACGCCAGAGACCCGGCGGCCACCCAACGGCAGCCGCCCCCAAACCACGAGGCAGAGATGGCCGTGGCGGCGAGAGGGACCCACACGCACCGAGCCGGCCCACGCCCCTCAGCTCGCGCCCAGAGATCACTCGATCGAGATCCCCATGCGCTTAGCAACGTCCCGAAGCGCAGCAGCCTTGACCTCTGGGGACTCGCCACTCTCCAAGAGGCTTTGCAACTGCATCCTTATCTGTTTGGGTGTGACCCCTTCTGCAAGGTAATCTTTCTCCTTGGCTTTCGCCTTGCGGTGAGGACCGCCTCCAGCGCCCGCGGCGTTCGCGGGGCCCTTGCTCTTCTGCTTGCCCTTTTTGGTCTTGCCGCTGATCGCTCCAGCCCACGCCTGAAATATCATGCCCTGGATGTTGACCAGCTGCTTGGCGTTGATGAAGCAGACGGCGTCCTCGAGCTCCTCGCCCCGACTGCTGTCCGACTCCTCATCACCAACGTAGTACTTGTAGGGGGTCAGCTGGACGGGGCAGCACCCCCGATCATCTTGTCCAGGTCGGACTGCTGCTCCGCCGGGCCCGCAAGCCACTTCACTTCCCATTCCTTGAAATCCTGGTGGCGCTGAATCTCCTGCGGGTCCGCGAGGCTCTCCACCGCCTGCTGCTCCTGCAAGCTCAGCGTCTCCAGGGGTGCCACTGCAGTGCACTGGCCGCGCTGCTGGCGCCATCCGAAGTTCACGTACTTGCAGCTGGGCCGCAGGCACTTCCACTTCGAGACCCAAATCTTGTTGTCCTTCCTGTTCTTCTGGTTGTCGTGCTTCTTCTGTGCGATGCTGGTCTCCTCCCTTTGAGGCCCCCGCTGCAGGCTGGCCTGGTCCAGGGCCTGGCCCGCCTCCGACACGTGGTCCTCCTCCCGCTTCTTGGCCCTCTTTGCCTTCTCCAGCTCGAAGGCCTCGCGGGCTGACTGCCTTTTCGCTGCCTCCCGACGGCTGAGCTCGGGCACCATCATGGGCACCTTGCTGCGTGTTGGAGTTCGAAGCCTGGCACGCCGACTTGACAATACTGCTGCCTCGTACTGCTCCTTCAATACGATGCTCCGCGTCCAAGGGCACTGGAGCGCGTTGTTCATAACCTCCTTGCTGCTCTTGTGCTGCTGCGCCATCCTGGCAGACAATGAGCTTCCACTTGAGCGCCTGCTGCGACCCCGACTCGAGGCCCTTGAACAAGCTCCCCAGCACTGAACCAAGGTGGTCTGGCTCTCCACGCGCCAAGCTGTAGGACACGTACAGCTCGACCTCCTTGTCAAACTGGTCCTCGTTCATGCCGAGGCTCCCGACATGGCCCGAAACGGCTGCGCGGCCCTGAGGATGCGCCGCCCCGACCCCCGCTATGGGGACAGAGCCGCTTGAGCCGCTTGAGCGGCATGAGGAGGAGGAAGAGGAGGAGGAGGAGGAGGAGGAGGAGGAGGAGGAGGAGAGGAGGAGGACAGAGAGATGGAGGAGGAGGAGGAGAGGAGGAGGAGGAGGAGGAGGAGGAGGAGGAGGAGGAGGAGGAGGAGGAGGGGGGAGGTAGGGGAGGAGGAGGAGGAGGAGGAGGAGGAGGAGGAGGAGGAGAGGAGGAGGAGGAAGAGGAGCAGGAGGAGGAGGAGGAGGAGGAGGAGGAGGAGGTGGAGGATGAGGAGGATGAGGAGGAGGAGGAGGAGGAGGAGGAGGAGGAGGAGGAGGAGGATGGGGGGGAGGAGGAGGGAGGGAGGAGAGGAGAGGAGGAGGAGGGCGGAGGAGGAGGAGGAGGAGGAGGAGGAGAAGGAGGAGGAGGAGGCAGAGGAGGAGGAGAAGGACTGACCAAACTGCCAGGTCTGTTTGGGTTGCACCCCAACTCGCAGCCTGTTAGTAGGAGTTGCTAGCGAGGGCTCGCCCTGGCGAGTAGCCCCCACAAGATCGGTACGATTTGGCTGCCCGGGCTAGGGGCAGCACGGAAGGCCATGATGCTGCTGACGGCAGGCTTTGCGCGTGCAGTGGGCTCGAGTTGCAGCCTGCCCTGCTGCATGGCGGCCTGGCAGGGTCTTGCCCCGTGGTGGCCCCAAGTGGCAATAACGAGGCTGTGCGGTGAGTCGAATTGGTTGCCCGGGCTAGGGGTAGCCCGTGCGGAGGGACGACGTGGTTTCCCGATTAAAGGATAGCACCAACTCCTCCAAGGACCAGAGCTTCTTCATCGGGGACTGCGAAACCGTCCCAGGGAAGCTGGAGTTCATGGAGGAGCTCCAGACCAAGAACGGCGAGGGCAAGATGGTGCCCATCGGTCCCAACATGGAGCCGCCGCTGGAGGAGCTCATGCTGCGAGTGTCCCAGCTTGAGAGGCTCGCGGGCCACCATGAGAAGGCCAACGACGTGGTGCACAAGCACGGTCCCATGCAGATCCACGGCGAGGTGAAAATGTGTACGGCCGCCGCCAAGACAGACCTCGACCAGGTCTACCGCTAGCTGGTGGAGCAGATTGCCGTGCACAAGGCCGACCTTGACAATATCAACCGCCCCAACATGGAGCAATTTCTCAAACAGGTCCGTGGTGCCGACCTGAAGTTGCAGACGACCGACTCGGTCCACAGCGAGTTGAAGGAGCAGGTCCAAAGCGACCTGAAGTTGCAAACGGCCGCCATCAAGGCAGACCTCGACTCGGTCTACGGCGAGCTGAAGGAGCAGATGGCCGCAAACAACAGAGATCTTCACAATATCAACAGCATCATGACTGTGCAACTGAGCGGCAAAACGCCGATCGAATATCTCGAGCTGATCCGTGAAGAGATGATGATGCAGAAGGCCGCCACCAAGACAGACCTTGACCAGGTCACCTACTACTTGAAGGAGCAGAAGGCCGAGCCCACAGCAGATCTTGACCAGATCAACTGCCCGACGAAGGAGTTCGACGTGAAGCTCGGCACCAAGCTCGCCGGGCTCAAGAGCTCCGTGCTAGACGCCACCCACCCGCTGGTCACGTCCTGCCCCCAAGGCAAGGGCGCCGAGGCTTGA